CCCCAAAACCCCAAAACCCCAAAACCCCAAAACCCCAAAACCCCAAAACCCCTTATAAGATTAGCAAGTTTGAATCAATAATATATTATATAATGGCCAAGTTTGGAAAAATTGCAGTCATCACTCAACTTGAATCCAATCAAGAAGATTCAAAAGGTTTCAATATGGCAGATGATTATGGTGGTCAATTGAGAAATGCCGCTAAAGACATTCAAAGAATACAAGAGGTTGAGGAAACTGTTTATGGCGATGAAAATAGTCAATTTTCTCAACCCCTTCCAGGACCTGATAATGACATCAATGAAAATAATAATATGAAAAAGAACATCAATTTCGATCCTCAATCTACTTCTCATCGTAAATAATATAAGTAGCATAGACGGCTTGATAACCCCAACTTCTGGAATGACTGAGGTTGGTGAAAGTAATAAGCCTATGAATAAAAATCCCTCTCTCACGAACCTGAAACCTATGTATCCAGGTAAACGAAATTCAGTGTCTCCTATGCCTCTTGAGAGTCATAACTTAAATCAAGCAGTAATGAAACCAATTAATGAGAACTCTATCCAACCAAATTTAGATCAACATTTGAACGTGAGAAGCGAAATGATCGATAAATCAATGAATGATCAATCTCAATTAGCCGAAGGAAAACAGTTGACCCAAGAGGATGAAGAATCTGACGAAGAGGATATTATCCCTGAAGATGAAAAATGGAAAACAAGAAAGCTCTTCTGGCAAATGAACGAACAAATCAGGATCAAATGGGATCTTTTCGTAATGATACTTGCTATATGGAATTGATTTTCGATTCCATTCAATGCTGCATTCAAGCCTGACTTTATGGAATCAATCACTATTGAAATATTTAACTCGATAATTGATCTATTGTTCATGGTCGATGTGGTCATCAACTTCAGAACGTCCTACATCAATTCGAAAACAGGTGAAGAAATCTTTGACCTCAAAATGATTGCTAAAAATTACTTAAAAGGAAGGTTCTGGGTAGATATACTTGCATCTCTCCCTCTTGATGTTATTGGGCTTATCTTCTTTTCTTCAAGTGGAAATACTGCTGTTTTCGAGCTATTTGGTCTACTTAAGCTAGTCAGAGTGCTTAGATTGTCAAGGATCATCATGTATATGAACTTAAAAGATGACATTAAAATGTCATTAAAATTAGTTAAACTGGTATTCTTTTTGGTTATGTATATCCATTGCCAAGGATGAGCCTGGCATCTGATTGTGAAAGATAATAAAAAGTGGATTCCTCCTCTCGACTATGTATGGATTGAGACTCATATTTATACTGATACAGTATCAATGCAATATTGGAATGCAGTTTATCATAGCACGCTGTTACTCGCAGGAAATGATATTGGTCCGAGAAGAGATTTGCAATTATTCTTCTGTATAACTACTCTTTTAATTTGTGCTATTATTAATGCTAATATTTTTGGTAATTTAGCTGTTCTTGTCTCTGCTCTCAATCGAAAGTCAACAAAATTCCAAGAAAAGTTGGATACTGTGAATACTGCTATGAAAAATATGAAACTTCCTGAAGAGACACAAAAGAAGGTTCAGAATTATATTATGTCAACCCAAAGTACTCTCGATCATCAGCAAGAAATGGATGCATTTCTTAAATTGATATCACCTTCCTTAAGGCTTGAAGTAACAAAGCATATTTTCCATATGATTGTTGTGAAGAATGACCTGTTTAGAGAAAATGAAGACCTCGTTGATTATCTTGTAAGATACCTGAACACTTTGCTTTATCTTCCTGAAGATGAAATCATAAAGCAAGGTGATAAAGCCGACCACCTTTACTTCCTTGCAAGAGGAGAATGAGTTATTTATATTTATGATGAAAATAATGTTGAAAAATATGTGAACACTCTCAAAATCGGAGCATATTTTGGAGAAGTAGGAATTATAAAAGATTGCCCAAGGACAGCAACAGTTAAAAGTAAGAATTACACAACTTGAGCCGCTCTTAATGAGAAGAATTTTAAAGATTTCAGAAACCATTATCCTGAAATAGTCAGGAAGATGAGTGATAATCTGTATAACTATCAAGATAAATGGAAGAAGTTCTTGATGAAAACTCTGAAAAATATCAGCTTCCTCAGCCATGATATATCAGATGTAATTCTCGAGGATCTGATCTATGAGCTTGATACAGAAAGAATTGAAGAAGGCAACTATCTTTTCAAATAAAGGCTTCAGTTGCGATTGCATTTATATTGTCATTCATGGAGAGGTAGATATTTACATGGAAAACAACGGTAGAGAAACATTTATCGAAACTCTTCATCAGTCAAGCAACATTGGAACTTATTCTACCATTCAAGAGGAGGACTATAACTTCACTTGCAAAGCCCAGAATGATTGAACTCTTATGTTACTAAAATTCGAAACACTAGAAAAATTTAGAGGTAAATATGATGAGCTAAACTACTACCTTATTGAATACGAGGGATTCATTGAAGACAATGGAGCTCCATTCTGAGACTTTTTACTTTACAGAAATAAAAAGGAGAGGTTCAACCCAAAGGAAACCTTAATCAATGGAGTTAAGAGAGCCAAAAACATCCTCAAATCATTCAGTAGAAAGATAGAATTTGGAGACATTCTCAAAAGAGTTCAAGAGACAATCAGGAGAGAAAGAGCTGAAGAGAAGAAAAAGAAGAAAAAGAGGTTTAACAATGACAATAAACCTCTTAATCAAACACAAGCCAATGGTAAAATGATTGCAGAGATAAAGAATGATATCAAGACCCTTAAAGAAATTCTTGAAAACTTAGTACAAGGAGGGGATTCTCCTGAGAAAGATAATTTTAATGAAGAGAAAGCTCGTGCTTTAGAGGAGTCTCATTTCTCTTCTCAACCTCTAGACAATGCAAACAATCAAAATAATGGAATCTTCAGTCATGATAACAGTATAAATCTTGGATTAGGAGCGGATCTTAATAGAGATGATGGAAAATACCAGAAATCAGCAACTCAATTACAAACGCCAATGGATGAGGACTGGGACTAAGGTTTTATAAATGGCATATTTGAAATAATTCAAAACTCCAATAATTGTTTTAAAGTAAGGGGTTTTGGGGTTTTGGGGTTTTGGGGTTTTGGGGTTTTGGGGTTTTGGGGTTTTGGGG